CAGAGAAAAAAGGATGCCATGCTAGGAGGAGACTCTATGGTGGGGGAACCAGACTTCTGGTCTGCAGAGAAAAAAGGATGCCATGCTAAGAGGAGACTCTATGGTGGGGGAACCAGACTTCTGGTCTGCAGAGAAAAAAGGATGCCATGCTAAGAGGAGCCTCTATGGTGGGGAACCAGACTTCCGGTCTGCAGAGAAAAAAGGATGCCATGCTAAGAGGAGACTCTATGGTGGGGAACCAGACTTCCGGTCTGCAGAGAAAAAAGGATGCCATGCTAAGAGGAGACTCTATGGTGGGGAACCAGACTTCCGGTCTGCAGAGAAAAAAGGATGCCATGCTAAGAGGAGACTCTATGGTGGGGAACCAGACTTCCGGTCTGCAGAGGAAAAAGGACGCCATGCTAGGAGGAGACTCTATGGTGGGGGAACTGGATTTCCAGTCAGCAGAGGAAAAAAGGGTGCCATGCTAGGAGGAGACTCTATGGTGGTGGAACCAGACTTCCGGTTGGCTCCAGAATTGAAGGGGGGGGGGCTTTCTGGTTAGGATCTTTGCTGCTCTTTGAGTATTTAAGGTTGCCGATCCCTGATGAGGTATGAGGTTTCCCTGATTTTATGCCCGGTGAGACGGCTCTTTCAACCTCTCAGTGCTTCTATGCTAACCATGCAGAGGAAAAGGACAATTTGGTTGGTCAGAAAATGGCTTTCTCTAGAATGGGACAAAGGGATTCAGTGGCTAAGATGCTGAGCTGGTCGATCAGAAAGGTTGGCGGTTAGAATCCCTAGCGCCACGTAACGGAGTGAGCTCCCGGGACTTGTCCCAGCTCCTGCCAACCTAGCAGTTCGAAAGCACGAAAAAAATGCAAGTAGAAAAATAGGAACCACCTTTGGTGGGGAGGGAACAGCGTTCCATGCGCCTTGGGCGTCATGCCGGCCACAGGACCACGGAGGGGACAGCTCTGGCTCTTTGGCTTTGAAACGGAGATGAGCACCGCCCCCTAGAGTCGGGAATGGCTAGAACATATGTGCAATGGGAACCTTTACCTTTACCTAGAATGGGAAGGCCAGCAGAGAACTCGCATTGCCAGGAAAGTCACTGTCCAGTTTTCTTCTGTCAGCTGATAAATTCCCTTTTCTTCCCTGTGGATAAGCTCAATTTCCTGGAGCAGATTCCAGGGAGCCTGAAGGGAGAAGCTCCCCTGCCCGGACTTCCTTCTCCCACCCTTAGCTCGGTTTTCCTTTCCTTTCTTCCATTGGCAGTCTCGCTTGGCGGCTTTGGCTGACCAGTGGGAGTTCCTGGTGCAGAAATCGGCCGAGAAAAGCCAGAAGCTGAAGGAAGCCAACCGGCAGCAGAATTTCAACACTGGAATCAAGGATTTTGATTTCTGGCTTTCCGAGGTAGCTCCCTTCCCCTTTCGTCCTCTTTCGGGGGGCTCTGGCGAGTCGAGGCCTTGGGCACCTTTGAATATTGGAAACCCACAGTTGTCCTGGAGAAATATGGTAGCCCTCCTTCAGTTGGCATGTCGGGCTTCTTTGCAGGTGGAAGCTCTCCTGGCATCTGAAGATTACGGGAAAGATTTGGCATCGGTGAACAATCTCCTGAAGAAGCACCAGTTGCTGGAAGCGGACATCTCTGCCCATGAGGTGGGAATCCCCAGACATGTTCTTGCGCTTAAATGGTGCCTGCTTGATTAACCGTCGATTAACCGCAGACTAATGTGGGTCATGGTGGCTTAGTGGCCGAGACGCTGAGCTTGTTGATCAGAAAGGTCGGCGGTTCGAATCCCTAGTGCTGCATAACGAAGTGAGCTCCCGTGACTTGTCCCAGCTTCTGCCAACTGAGCCGTTCGAAAGCACGTAGACCTTTGGTGGGAAGGTAACAGCTGTCAGGGTTCCAAATAGCATCCAAAAGTAAATCAGAGTTCAAGGCAAAGTATTTCTCAAAATTCCAATTTATGAAGGGAGCCATGTTGGCACATCAGGGAAAACTCGAATCTAAAAGCTTCCTGGTTTTCCCCACACAATTGAAAGTTCAAGATCTGGCCCCCACACCCACAAGTCCATCCCAGGGTCCATGTTAGGTAAGCTCCCCATTGGGAGAGCGAGTACGTTCAGCGAAGCGTTGTGAGAGTTGTGTTGGAGAACACACAAATCAGCATACAGAGACATTGCAGTTTAAATAGGCTTTTACTTTTGTGGAAATAGAGGTATCAGAGTCCATCAAACAGTCCAAGTCATACACAGATAAGTCATTCATTCATCAATGTCTCTCAGTAAAGGGATAATCCAAATAACATAGTCCAGTAATCATATAATCAGGTCAGTACTCAAAGTTTGCTAACAGTTGCAAAACTTACAATAGCTCACGGCACTTTCTAACAGCCAGCTTCCAAAACACTCAGATCAGATCAGTCCAGCATCTAAGGAAACAGAGCTAACAGTCATTCTGGCTCCCTCTTATGGCCAACTGAGGAAAACAGCAACCAATCACATTTTACAGTATGATTTAAAGAAACAGGTACAACATTGTTACATGGTTTATAGCCAACCCCAACTGTTAGATTATATTCCTAACAGTCCATGACTATGACTGTAAATCCTCCCTCGAAATACTTTGCTGGATGTGAAGAAACAGAATTCACAGTCAATTAATAAAAGGGTTTTTGTCGGGACCAGGAGTTTGCTTCAGGCTCTTGGGTAGCCTCAGTCAGAACAATTCTGTCATTTCTTCCTGGAGAGCTCTTCCTCATGTCTTGTGCGGGGGGGATGTCCTTTTTTATGTCTTTGTTCAGGACCGTCTGAAGGACCTCAACGGCCAAGCTGACAGCCTGATGACCAGCAGTGCTTTTGACACCTCCCAAGTCAAGGACAAGCGTGACACCATCAACGGGCGTTTCCAGCGGATTAAGAACATGGCAGCCGGCCGGCGGGCAAAACTGAACGAATCCCACCGTTTGCACCAGTTCTTCCGAGATATGGACGATGAGGAGTCCTGGATCAAGTACGGATTTTGGCCATTTGATAGATGATCTTGAATCTCCCTGGAAGGACCTTCGGTTGACCTTCTTCCTTTTCCCCTTTCGATACTCAAGGGAGAAGAAGCTGCTGGTCAGCTCGGAAGACTACGGGAGGGACCTCACTGGGGTGCAGAACCTGAGGAAGAAACACAAGCGCCTGGAAGCAGAATTGGCTGCGCACGAACCTGCAATCCAGGTAAGGAAGGTTGGGGAGGGGGAACGTCCTTTGAAAGGGCAAGGAGAGAGCGAGAATTCCATCTGGGAATGAAAATGTTACCTAAAATCACTGTGTGGTGAGTTAGGCAGCTAGATAAATTTGAAGAAGGAAAGAGGGAGGGGAAGGGAGGGAGGAAGATGAGAGAGAGGGAGGGAAGGGAGGGAGGGAATAAGAGGAAGGAAAGGAGAGAGGGAGGGAGGAAGAGGCGGGAGAGATGGGAATGAGAAAGGGAGGGAGGTGGGAATGAGCGGAAGGGGAAGAAGGGAAGGAAGGAAGATGAGAGAGGGAAAGATGGAAGGAGGTGGGATTGAGAGGAAGGAAAGAGAGGGAGAGAAAGAAGGGAGGGAGGTGGGAATGAGTGAAAGGGGAAGAAGGAAAGGAAGATGAGAGGTAGAAGGACAGGAGGAGGGTGGGATTGAGAGGAAAGAAAGGGAGGAAGAGGGAGAGAGGTGGGAAGGAAGGAAGGAAGATGAGAGGGGAGGGGAAAAGGAAGGAAAGGGAGGGTGGATAGAAGGAAGGAAAAGGAGGGAGGGAGGAGGTGGGAAGGAAGGAAGAGGAGGAAGAGGAGGGAGGAAGGGTGGATTGAGAAGAAGGAAAGGAAGGGAGAGGAGGAAGGAAGGAGGTGGGAAGGAAGAGGAGGGAGAGAAGGGAGGGAGGTGGGATTGAGAGGAAGGGGAAGGAAGGAAGATGAGAGAGGGAAAGTTCGGAGGAAGGTGGGATTGAGAAGAAGGAAAGGAGGGAGGGAGGGAAGAAGGAAGGGAGAGGAGGGAAGGAAGAGGTGGGAAGGAAGAGGAGGGTGAAAAGGGAGGGAGGTGGGATTGAGAGGAAGGGGAAGAAGGGAAGGAAGATGAGAGAAGGAAAGATGGGAGGAAGGTGGGATTGAGAAGAAGGAAAGGAGGGAGGAAAGAAGGAAGGAGAAGAGGGAGGGAGGTGGGATTGAGAGGAAGGAAGAGGAGGGAGGGAGGAAGAAAGGAAAGAAAAGGAAGGAAGCCTAGAGCCTAGGCCTATCTTGGTAATCTGTTCCACTTTGTAAAACTGGAAATTTTAGAGATCCATGGAGGGAAATTTTATCTTGGAGGACAGAAACGTTGGGCCAAAGTCTGTGCTAGATGAAAGACGTCCCACTGAACTTTTGCCTTTCGCAAGGGCTGCCCAGACATTCCCCAGCCTGAGGTTTTGGACCTCATTCCAATGAATCCCAGTTGATCTTCTTTTATTTTTTGCTTTGAAATCTCTTCAAAGTCCTTACAGTCTTGAGCGTGGCAGACAAAGTTGTTTAGGTGCATCACAGAGTGTTAAAACGAAGAAAAGTTAAACCTGGAAGCCACCATTCAGCCGATGGAGGGAGGGGGGAGCAGAATTGACTCTGTTTAGCGTTGCTGCAACGTGCGATTGTGTTTCTTGGGCAGGGCGTGCTGGACACAGGCAAGAAGTTGTCCGATGACAACACAATCGGAAAAGAGGAAATCCAGCAGCGATTGGCTCAGTTTGTGGAACACTGGCAAGAGCTGAAGCGGCTGGCAGCTGCACGGTAAGGACCCAGATGTTGGCAGCCTTCTTGAACTAAGACCCAAATGGCACCGTGGCAGAATTTGTAAAGGCAAGACATCGCAAAGGTGGCCTCGAGGTGGAGCTCTCGCTTCACAATCAGGAGGCTGAGTTCAATCCTAGGTAGAGGCTGATATTTCCCTTTCTGGGGACAATGAGGATTTATCTGCTGTGGGGGGAAAAACTCCGCATTGGCGAACAGGAAGGGCATCTGGCCAGTAACCCCCCAGCTCCATTCAGTTGCCTAGGCTCCACCCCACAAGGGATTATGGGGTCATTAAACAACAATAACAAAAAAGAAGCAGCAAAAGGAAGGACCAGTAAGCCAGTGATGGGTTCCAGATCCTGTCGCAACTGGTACGCTGCACGCATACGCACCCATCACCCTGCGATGCTCCAGGTGCTCGGCGGAATTCGCAGAGGCGCCATACACCATGTGTGCGCAAATGGCCCGGTTGGCTTAAACACAGATAAGGAACGCAGGCGGGAGGAGAGGTTCTCCAAAACACCATTCCGGTATTGCGGCCGCTGTTCCCAGCTGCCACCGGTACGCCCGTACCGGGGCGTACCGGCCAGAAACCACTACTGCATTGAGCCCCACAGCCTTTGAAAACACCCAGGAAGGAAAAAGGCCCCGCCTTCCTTTTGATAGACAGGCTGAAGATGCATAATTAATATATACATAAATTAATGCATATTCATTTTCCCTGCCTCCTCCTCTTTCCAGTGGTCAGCGGCTCGAGGAGTCTCTCGAATATCAACAGTTTGTGGCCAACGTGGAAGAAGAGGAGGCCTGGATTAACGAGAAGATGACTCTGGTGGCCAGCGAGGACTACGGAGATACCCTGGCAGCCATACAGGTGAGCAAAGAAAGAGCGGGTTTATCAGGTGCCCAGGTGAGCATCATGTAGCGCTGTGATTGTTGATTTGAGCAGGGTGTCTCTGTCTCTGTCTTTGTGTGTTCCAGCATAACTCTGGAACGCCTGGGCTGCTGAAATGAAAAGGAATGAATTATATCTATAGTGTCAAATCACAGTACTTTTGACAGTGATAGGGTGCATTTTGGATTCAAGTTCGTGTGTGTGTGTGTGTGTGTGTATGTGTATTTGTGTTTCTGTGTGTGTGTGTTCCAGCATTACTTTGACTTGACACTATAGATATAATTCATTCGTTTTCCTGTCTAATACAGGATTAGCGTAAATAAATTCCCCGGGGTTTTAACTAGTAATAAAATAAAAAAAATAAAACAAATTAAAATAAAATAAAGTAAAATGATTAATAATTAAATAAAATGGTGAGTCTTCTGTAAAGTCAACCTGAACTTCATTCAGTGCCATGAATGAATACAGGTAGTTCCCCGATTTACAACAGCTCATTTAATGAGCATTCAAAGCAAAAGCAGCACTGGAAAAACGACTTACAAATGGTTTTTCATGCTTACGACCGTTGCAGCAATCCCATGGCCACTTGATCAAAATCCAGACACTTGGCAAGTCACTCCTATTTATGACGGTCGAAGCGTCCTGGGTGGGTGTGTGTGTCACGTGATAACTCTTTTGAGACCTGACAAGCCATGTCGATGGGAAAGCTGTATTAGCTTAACAGCCAACTTAACGGCAGAGATTCACTTAACAACGGTGGCAAGAAAGGATGTAAAATGGGGCAGAACTCACGTAAAAATGTCTCACTTAACGACATAAATTTTGGGCTGAATTGTGTTCATAAGTTGAGGACTACCTATATAAATGCTATGAACGGATGCACGAAAAGTTTACAATTCCACTTCGCCCTTCTGGAAAGCGTTCGCTGCTATATACCGTATTTTTCGGACTATAAGACGCAGCTTCCCCCCACCCCCTAAAAGAGCATGGAAATGATGGTGTGTCTTATACACAGAATATAGCCATTTTTGGCCTCCCGAAGCCCTGCCTCCGCATCACATTTTTGTGAAAAGTGGGGGTGTTTTTCCTTCCCCCAGCCCAGCTGAAGCCTGCAGAGTGCTCCTGGAGACCAGGGAGGACAAAAACTTTTTTTTCTTACTTACCTCTTACTTAAATCTTGATGCGTCTTATATACCGGTGCGTCTTGTAGTCCTAAAAAGACGGTAGCTGTTCTTCTCCACGTGCTATGGAAAGCTATGACACCCAGCTTGCTTGTTGGTGGCCTGGTCCAATCTTGGTAACTGCCTTCTTGGTAACTCCCACGCCTCCGTAGGAGTCTGAATCTGCGGGGGAAGATGAGCTGGAACAAGAACTGACAGCGAGTGAGAGGGGCAGCTCCATTGGCCTTGGAGGAAACTGGGGAAACTGGGGCAGAGTCAGTCCAGGCAAGGCTTTTGCAGAATTAGTAAGGCCTGGAGGCAGGGAGGAAAAGAGGCAGGATGAAAATGAGAGACAAGAGCTCAGGCGAGGAGCAAGAACCTCCCACTCCTGATCCAAGAGCTCAGAGAGTGCAGAGAAGGCATGAACAGTGCAACCTAAGCTTCCTGAACTCTTTGATTTGCCTTTGTTTTGCCAAGTACATTTGGGATTTATTGCTGCGCAGCCTTGGTGCAGGCAGTGCTGGGCTGGATTAATTTCAGCTAGAGGCTGCTTGAGGTTTTTGGGGGGATTTTTTCTCACTCTGCTCAGGGACTTGCCAGAAACGTGGGGGCGTTTTGGGGAGATTTGGAGCAATAAAGGGGCAGTTTGAATTGCCAGCTGTGAGGCATTTAGCCCCCTCG